GATGAGGCCACGGCGCTGATGTAGTTGGCAGACAAATCTGGGCTTCAGAGGAAGAAGCCACCGTATTCGAGCTCCGCCTTACTTTAAATCAACTCTGAGTAGGACAATTCAGAGTTTAACATGTGTTTAACAAGCCATCATTAGTGGAGCCCTGATTTGATGAGTCACCATGACAACAGGCAACGGGAAGTGCCTATTTCACCCCACTGGAACTGGTGATTTTAATGCAGAAATAAATTAAAAAAAACAATTGGAGAAAGTGTTTAAAAGAAACAGCAAAGAGCAAAACAACAGGGTGACGGCATAGAAGTAGATTGTTGCTCAAGATAATACGCAACTTTATGTGTGTATGTCTGGTATGGCAGGCCTTTATAACATTTACTAAAATTACTTTTATTACTCCTCTCTGTTGTTCAATTTGTAGACCACTTAAATAAGTAAATACCATTTTGCCAGTAGAAACAGAATTTAGGAATGCAAAAAAAAAAAGTTTGCACTAGTAAGAAGTTTTATATACCTAGAAATGTTTAAGTAGCTATTCAGAAATTTATCAGCTTGACTGAATATGCATTTATATTACTTGAAATACATCTCTACCTAATCCAATCAAATCCAATTATGACCATAATATGGAAATGAGAAACTCATTTTCAGACATCCACACTGTTTATTTTAGATATGAAGAATGTAATTTAACCCTTACCATTTTGACAAGAAATCCAGTCAAACGAACAGGCCTACATATCAAAACTGTTATAGCCTGACCACTATAACATTACAGGGGAAAACTAGCTTATTGCTTGAATGGTAGCGGATCGTTGTATTCAATTTAGGTGTAATCACCTGATAGCAGTTGAAGATGAAGAATAAAAACCTTGTTCTAACAGGTAGGAACTTTTCATCATGTCATGGGGTTCCTCCTCATTTTGATTCTGTCTTCCATCACTCAGTAAATACTAGGTTTCTGTTTGCTGCCACTTCAGATGTTACCATGCCATTAAATGGTTGTAATTAGCGGTTATCAGTCCCATAGAATGGTTTCAGATTGTGCCTCCTACCTACCAGCAGGCTCAGTAGGTTGTTTTTACCTATTGAATATTAATCCTAACACTAATATAACTCATGTTTCGCTTGCAGAATTAACCAATCTATTTATGTGTAATCTGAAATTTTCAGAAGTACTTCATGTCTTGAAAAAAAAATTGTACTTCATGTCTTGAAATAAATAAAGATCTGCATGTCGCTCATGCTAAACAAACCATAAAAAAACAAACATCACATATCCTGTCAACTGAGTTTTTTATTTTAATCAACACATTAAATCCATTTGACTGAAACATGTGGAATTAATTTGCAGTAAAGCTTTAATAAACTTTATATAAGTAAAGTAGAAACAAAAAAATAAAGTAGGTAAATAGGAGATAAAAATGACTGTTTTAGATAGAGCCGAAGCAGCTGTTATCAATAATAATCTATATTTTATCAGCCACAGGAAACCTACTAGAAGTTGGAGAAGGCATTTTTTTTAATTTTTTTTTATTATTTAACCAGGTAAACTCCATTGAGATCTGGATCTCATTTTCAAGGGGGACCTGGGCAGAGATCTGCCATTTTAAAGCCATTCTATGGTACTGTTGCTATTTTAACTGTTTTTATTATGTCTATGTATATCTACTTACTGCCAATGTGAGAAAAAAACAAGGTCTTGGTTGTACGTTCTGGACGGTGAGGTGACACAGTGGTGCTCATAAATGGCAAGGGCGGCATCATGTTGTACAACTCTAAGCAGTGATATTTTTTGGGGGGGGTTGCTTTGCTCTGTAGCTTCCTGCTGAAAACCTTTGAAGTATCAGGGTTACCTCACAACCATACACTTGGACAATGGAAGACCAAACTGAAAGGACATTAGAGTGTCTAAATCCCACTGCTTATGCTTTAGTGCCCATTCAGCATGTGACTCCAGCCGTAATAAGGAGAAAAGAGGCAGCTGTGGACCCAGTGGTCGGACTATCGGTGCTACCCAATGAGCCACCCTACCTTCTGGCAATGAGCATTCACAAACGGCACGTCACAGGTTGGAGGGAGAGAACGCTATATGGATGCGCTACAGTAAGAAAATACGACACCAGTCGATGTATTTGTGGCAGAGCAGTAACTGGTGTGGTTGTCACTGATACCAAGATGATTGAGTCTATCTGCTGTCAGGAGGTTGACCTGGACCACGTACTGTCCAGCAGATAGGCATTACCAATTTTGTTTTGTCAACTCCCCTTTTTCAAGTACAACAACAATACAGTAATAAAAGACCAATGATAATCATGGTTGTAGAGTTTAAAGACGTTTAGGGGCCACTGAAACCTCGCTGGCTGTGATTTGGGGAACTGTATCGTCTAATGGTGTTGATATCTTTAAACAGATCATGTTTTTCTCTGCTGACAAGCTTCATGGAGATACTTATTTTGTTTTTTCTTTTATAAGCCTTCACTTTTTTTCAAAGAAAATAAAACATATAGAGCATCACATTAAGTCAAATAATGTCCAATAAACACACAGAGCCTTCTTTCATAGGTAAGATCAGTATGCTTTAATAAGATATCAGTGCAGAAACACAAACTTCTTATTGGGTTAAAGTCCCCATATAGTAATAATGAAAACAATATATTATAAGATCATTATGCATTTTTAGCATATTAAAATATAGATCTGAATTAGCTAAAGTAACTGTATTGTATGACAATAACAACAGAAAACAAGTAGAAAACAAGTAGTTGAACATGGATCCCAAAAGAAATAATAAAAGAGAAGAATGCTAAGAACACGGTGGAAGAGGAAGCGCAGAGAGTGAGCGGGATTACTCCCGAATGATTTCTCACTTTAGCTAAAACCCTTCAAGGAGCACAGTGTGCTGAGCACTAGCACAGCTTATGAGTTAAAATAGAGACGCAGACGTCCCGTCTACTTTATTTCCTGAAGCTTTTGTCTCTCACACTTTAGATATTATTTTCTTTTTTATGTTTATAGCTGAGGTGAGATTTCTTATTTTGCTTTAATCAAATATACATTAAGAGAAAACAAAGCTAAAATGGAAGGTTTTTATATTTTTTATGTGTTTCTGGTTCAACTTCTGTAAGCAGAGGAGCATTAAAAGAGGAGGTAGGACTTCTCCTCTGTATGAAAAATCATTTCCATTTGGCCAACTCTTTGTATATACAGTCATGTCGTTTATTTCTTATGCCAAGAACTGCTCAGAGAACAACCAAATCCATCTAAGGTGTTGTTCTGTTTTCTTTTTCACCATGCTTGTTTTCTGCCTGTCTCTCTAGAAGTCTTTCTTTGGTCTCCAAAAACATAAACTTTGTGATTGGACAATATTGCACTTTTTTTAACTATTGAAATTTTACTAATATCTAGTAAGGTGCTTTTTAATGGAAATTTATTTTAATAATTAAAAAAATTCTACAGCAAAATACATAACTCTACAAACAAATATAACTTTTCCTCCAGTTTGAAATAAGATTAACTTCTTATTCAGCAAGGTTTTAGGACTGGGTAAAAAATAATACAATAAAATGGTGTGTTTAGGGGAAAAGGAGTAATATGATGAAAGTTCATTAGTGGGTGTAACTGTTCTCATGCTCTGCAGGAGGAATGTTTTTTTGTAAAAAGGCCTGTTTAGGGTGAATCCTGGTCAAATTTTTGTTTTTTTGTTGTCTGGCCGACAGTATGTAAAGAATAGTACCACTAGAGTCAAAAAAAGAAAAATATCTCATTCAGGTTTTGTGAAATGTGACTTAGTGGCATACTTTCCTTTTTAGGTTTAATAATTCTGACTTAAAACAGGAGGACTTTTAAATGGAAAGGCTGAAATGAAATTGTTAATAATTAAAGAAAATAGCTTTGACATACTTTTTAGCTTAAATAAATTTAAGAACTCAAATATACCATTAGGTTATGTTTATAAAGCTTGTGAGATCTCCAAAATATAATGTACAATTAACAATATGTACTGGCTTATTTTTCCCAATTAAAAGAAAATATGGCTTTGCGTTTAACTAAGATAATTATTTGGAGAATCTGTTGGATAATCTTCTATGGCTTTTCAAATTACTAAACAATGTGGAGTTTTGCTAGATTTAAACTAGAACCATAATGCACCTTGTTGTCAGCAGTTTGGCACATATTGAGACAAACCGTCACGTCACCTAACGATCATCCTAACTAGACTAAAGCCTCAGCTCTGTCCCTGCTGCCAGACCCTTTGCTGCTGATCTGAACATCTTTCCAAAAAAAAAAGCAGCTTCAGCAGCAGAACCATTGTTCCTGTTTTTCTGATTAGCTTCTCCATTTCCATTAAAATTTCACCAAAAAAACAATCATCGTTATAAGAAGACTGATTTGTTTTTTAGAAACTTAATCTGCTCCAGTCGTGTTACTCTGCTATTTTGTTGATATAAAGGGAAGCGATTGGAGAAGTGATTGAATCTAAATCCTCAGTGCTCATGGTAAAATAAAGAAAAATATTGCAATTTTAGTATCTGATTTCTCTTTCCAAATCTATCATATCTACTTTTTAGAAGATAACATAATAAGCATGTATGTATGATATGTCATGGTTTTGCTTCATTATAACGATTTTCACGTGTATTAGAACATACTGTGTGCTGCTCAGTGCTGCAGTGGGTAGCACTGCTGCCTTGCAGCAAGAAGGTTTTGGGTTGGATTCCTGGCCCGGGGTCTTTCTGCATAGAGTTTGCATGTTCTCCCTGAGCATGCGTGGGTTCTCTCCGGATACTGCGGCTTCCTCCCACAGTGCAAAAACATGAGTTTAATTGGCTTCTCTAAAGTCTCCTTAGGTGTGAGTGTATGAGTGAATGGTTGTTTGTCTCTGTGTTGCCCTGTGATGGACTGGAGACCTGTCCAGGGAGGACCCCGCCTCTCGCCCAATGACTGCTGGAGATAGAAACCAGCACCCCTCGTGACCCCACTCGGGATAAGCGTGTAAGAAAATGGATGGATGGATAGAACATATTGTTTGTAAAATTTTATAATAATATCCTGCTTTTTTAGGTTTTTTTTTTTATTCTGATGCGTAAAATGACATAAAAAATATATATTTATTACCCACTGAGTTTTAGAGTTAGCTCTCAACAGCATATTAAGTGAATATAACACATTTTTATCTGTTATAGTACTTATTAGGTAACAACTATAATCTGAAATGAGTCTACCTGCTCAGCCAGTAACTTTACAGACATCTTTAATGTGAATTCTTGTAATTTCAAAAAACCTAAGTTATTACCTCATAGTAACAAACTGCCTTTGCTAATAAGAAAAACAATCACAAAACTAAATCTATTTTAAATTAAAGCTACAAGCCAATGGGATGATTTGGCCTCTGTTGAAGCAGATTACTTACAATAAATTCAATAATTTTCTTTATAAATTAACAAGCTGAAGGATTCAGTCCATATTTTGGAGGGAAACTGTGCACTTGAAGGGTGAAATCAGTACATCATGTCACAATAAGGCACATTGTATGGATTCAAATAATAAAAAAACAACAACAGGTGAGTTAAAATAGAGACGTCTTGTGTCCTCTGTTGAAGGAGATTACAGATTATTACGAATTTCATCAGATGTAATAGACATCTGTCCGTTATGTGTTCTGCCTTACTTATTTAAAATACAGTAAGGCAGAACACATTAAAAAATACAGTGTTAGTGGATCCAAGATATGCAATGAAATAAAAAAAAATGACACATACATGATCTACGAAGCACCATTGCTTTTATATAATGCAACTTGAAAATGATGCGATTATGTGGCAACCTCACTTTCCTTATTTATTTAAAATGCTACATATCTGAAAAGTGAAAGTTAGGAAAGTCATGTTTTGCTGTGATGTTTCTTATTTTTTTGTGTGTCAAAGTAAGAACAACAACAGTACTGGCCAACCAACAGATTGAACAGATATTTGCACATAAAAGAGAAGAAAGAAACAACTGGGTGGGTCAAACGGGGGAGGGGGGGGCACCACGACACGGAAACGGGACGAGAGGAAACGGCATAGCCAGAGTTCTTACCTACACAGCATCTATGGAAGGAAGGGCGACTGAGGACAAAGTACCAGGACACATTAAACACTATGTTCAACATTAGCTCCGTTTTTAAATACATAACGTGTATGTGTACAAAGATCTATAGTTCAAAAGTAGTCACTACAGAAAGACCTCAGAACAGTCAGATGAAGAAAAACACAAATAAAGGAAAGAAACATGTTTCACTGAAGGCACCCTGACATCATCTGGGTAGAAATGAACATATAGCTCTCAATAATGTTCTGTAACAAAGCTCTCTGGTGTTGGCTGGTAATAGAAGACAGAAACTGGCCTTATCCTATTACTAAAATATATAAACCTGCTTTCACAGGGTAATGCACAGAGATTGTGGTTGTTGCACTTTTACAAACATCCACATTGAGTATAAAAATGTGTGACTTTCTGCTGTGGCCTGTTCTTCCTGTGTCTGGTATGTGCAGTGGTGAGCACAGGAGTCATGGGGCTGACCTCCATTCTCTAAAGGGGACCACTGAGGTTACATGACTTCCATCATTAGCTGCTGGGTTTTTTGTCTCTGCCAAACCCATAAAACCCTCTAAAGTTTCTACATGGTTTAAGTTCCCTCCTGATCAGCAAAATGCCGTTTTAATCCTTCCAAGCGCCATCTGATTAACCTGAGCTTCCCGTGATTGTCAGAAATACCCTTAAATTAGCTTCCATTCATACATTCCTCTCATTTAAACCTCTTCCAGTGTTGCAAACCGCACTTTCTCCCATTCCAGGTCATTATTTCTACTCCTTTCATTCTTTTCAATATTTCTAAATAAAGAACAACACTTTTACTGTCCTGGAAAAGTACTCCTTATGTATAAGGAGAATACTTCGTTTCCAGTATTTCTTTCATGTTTCTCTCTGCGGTTGTTAAGTAAATCTTAGGGTTTGGGGCAAAACAAGTTAAACATAAAACATCCAACTGTAATAATCGGTCATTTTATGTTACACTTTATGTTTTACATTAATAAAAAAAGCTAACAAAACAAAAAATCTAAATAATTGTTTGCATTATTTCATCTAATATCTTTACTTTTTTTGCATCAATGCAGATTTCTTTAACGTCTGTCCGCTATGGTACAAGCTGGATAAGAAGCTGTTGGTATCCTTTTGAAAAACCTGAGGATAAGCAGTCCAAGACTGATATATAAACGATGCGAAGTGTATTAGCTAATCACTATTACATGGTGCTTAATGAAGCTTCATCATCGTGAATTTTAGTTTGCATAAGAAAACTAAACTTTCTGATTATGCTTATATTACCCAAATAATTAAATAATGTAATTCTAAAAAAAAAAAAAAAAAAAAAAAGAGAAAAATCTTTGAATAAACTACATTAGAGCAGCAAGCTTAACATTTTTTACACAAATTGGACACTGGCATCAAATCTCCTATTCATCACTTTCTGCTAAAAATGTCTGGAAATGCAGAAAATCTTTAGTGACAGTAAACCACACGAATTTCATCATTCTAAAACCATCAATATATAAATAACCGCAAATCTGAACACATTTTTCAGGCTTTTCCTCCCGGTCATCTGTGCACACCACTGCTTTGATGCGTCCTATGAACCTTGTGCAAGTCAAACTCTTCTGTGCAACTGGTGAATTTGTTGAATTGATGTCACAATAACAAACAAACACAAAATACCCTGTTCTCACACAGACACATTCAAAATGATCAGATTTTAAAAAGAAGTACGTGTACTAGGTGTGTTTTACTGCTATTTGAAAAGAAGCACATATACAAGAACACAAGAAGGCAGTGTTAATGCGGCAGTGTTGCATCAGTTCAATGAGGATATTCAGTTTGGCGAATAAATGCTGAAGGAATCATCTCACAACAGATTGATGAAAACTGAGGAAAAATATATAGTGGGATATCTAAAGCTATAACTCCGCAGAACTGATTCAGAAAGAAAGATGCAAGCAAATGAGTTTCTGAATGCATGTAGAAAAAGGCTCAAGTTAGTCAAAAAAAAAGAAAAAAAGGAAGGAGAACAGTGTCTCTGCTAGTGTGTATGTAGTGTAAGTTCACCTGAAAGCTACATGATTTAGGTAGAGGATAGAGGGGTATCCTGGGAGTGGAACGACTGCATCCCTCCGCGACCTTTTAAATGCAACCCATGTGATTCCATACATGCCGTCAGAACTCGTTAATACACAAAGTGAGAGTAACATTATATAACCCCATAAATACCCAGCATTGACCTTTCATTCCCCAGCGACCCATTTCAAACTGATGCAATGTACGGGGGTCACTCCTCCACCCAGCCTACATCTGCTTTAGGCTGAAGAATGATTCAACTCTGTATGTGGCTTGAACTCTGTATTTTTCTGCATGTTTAGAGGGAAGAAGGGAGAGGGACTGTGTAAGGCAGTAAGTGTTCACTAAATCCGCCGTCTACAGGTGGTCTAGCCTCCAGGATTTGGTCCAGAGGCAAAGAAAGACTTAGTCATGGGCTGCAGGTTGAGGCTTAGGGCCGAAGTCCAGACATATGGAGTTTAGATGCACTGGTCAAGGGCTTGGAGCAGGTCACATCCCTGGAGGAGATGGAGGTTCCCCTGCAGCGGGACGTTGACCTCGCAGTCATAACGGGTCAGCTGGGGTAAACAGGAGGGTTCGAAAGAAGGGCCAAGCAAACGGCTCGCTATACCTGGGAAAAGGACAGAAACATTGAATGTCTCAGCGCAGCAGTAAGAGCCGAATGAAACATTAATTGTGATCTCATATAAACTGCAATAAAGAGGTTTTTGGATAAGATGTCGGTCTGATATCACTGCAATTGGTGGACCCGTAAAACCGTAATCTTGTCTGAATACGACTGAAGCTAAAATCGCTTTAACTTAAGTTTCATTTAGTTCTACAATCAGAATAAAAAGTAAACATCTTCATTGTGGAAGGAACAAGGGTTGGGAAATGAAATAGGAGCATACAGACTAAGCTCTGTCAGTCTACATTACATTGTCCTTTATCTTGAACAGCGGTTATATACGGTGCCGCATTCACCTGTTCACCATGGGCCTGCACAACTGCCATTCATGTTTGTACTTTTTGGGCGCTTGTGTTTTCCGTACCTCCAGCTTGATGTTCCCATGCTGGAGGTAAGCAGTGTTTAGTAGCGCTCCAGGTATAACTTTATAATCTATCAAATGGATGTGGTGTAATTACAAATCACTATTTGAAGCGTAGGGCTTTCTGCTACAAAAAGAACTCTGTGGTAATGTTGGTAATGTGAACTTTGGAATTTATTTAGGAGCATCAGAGTAAAAAGGGTTAAATAAAAAATAAATGCCTAAAAAATGACTTAAAAAAGACAAAACCTTTTACCTCTGCTTTAAAACTATGTGCTGTTCAATAGAAAAGTTAAAGGTAGGCGAATTTGTTGCTGAAAGCTGGTTTTCGTATGAGGCCTTTGTGAAAGAAGACCCAAAGTTCCTAAAAGCAATAAGACATAATATGCAAAGAAAAATAATCCCAATGCTGCTTCACCTAAGTAAGGCAGAAATCCACCCGGACAGCAGCTGAATCAATGTTCAGAGTATTTTAACTCACCTTCAGTCTTGTTAGAAGCACACATGTTATAATCTGTGAAGCTGCAGCTCTTTCGGGGAAAAGGTTTGTCATCGGGGCGCCTGATCCCATCCCCAGGATACTGAGACGTCCTGTGTTGGTGTAGAGGGCTGGGAAAGAGGGGTCCGTTTCTCGGCATCATGCGCCCCATCATCCCTGACTCTGAAATGATAGCTGCATGTTAACAGGAGCACAGAGAGACAGGCCAGCTAAGAAAAAAAACAAAAGCAAAAGGATACCTGTGAGGGATCCTGCACTCAGGGAGCGATCCATACAGCCGTCACCCCTCATCTTCTTCCATACAATGTTTGTCAGCTTTTTATCACCCTGCAGAAACAATGACCACCATGAGGCCATCTGTGCGTCTAAGAGTTTAGTCTGTTTCCTATATATAATAACATATAATAACAGAAGGCGATAGAATCCATTAAGCTTTTTAAAGTGATGTACTCAAACATAAAATACAGCTGACCAGAATGCCAGCTGATCTAGGGCTGGTGGGCGGGGCATATCCGTTTTGGTCCCTTGCACATCCTACTGTCTAAAAACAATGTTACGCTACAGAACACAGACATTTGTCGAGCACTAGGACCAAGCAGAAAACTGAAGTCAAGCTGAAGCTCGCTTCCCTGAGTTTAGACCCGTACACAAGCTCCTGATTGGCCCTCCGTCTTTTCTTGTGCGATTGCCTTTCACCGCTGTCACTCCTGAGAAGCTCACTTTACAAAAATCTGATTGGACGGTCAAACCCCCCCT